GCTTTGTGGCACTCGATATGCTCACGGTCTTTTGTTTATTGCAGAGAAACCCCATAACGAAACGTCTTTACGAAATTACACTGACATGTACAGTGGTGAGTCAACGCTGGCTTCTGGAGACCTTCACGATTTAACCCCCTTCTGCCTAACCTGACTTATCTCCCGCGCTAACCGGGCAGCGAGCGGCCGCGGTCGCAGCATCTTCTGCCCATCGTCTGTGCCCGCGTCACCCCCGTGTCTGCCCCTGGTCCCCTTCGCGGGTTATCGCCTCAACTTTGCAAAAACAGGTGGGGCAAAATGAGCCACATCGTGACAAAATGCCCTCAAAGTTTGTACGATTTAAAATGATGGAGTTTTAAGCTAATTAACTGGATCTGCAGAGCCCAGCTTGGGAGGCGTTTGGATTAATGGGGTCTGGCCCACGTGGAAACAGTCTGCGGGGCTGAGCGAGCCCAGCTTGCCTCCTCGCCCAAGAGGTGCCTTGTCCTCAGCGAAGGCTCATGATTTAAAGATAAGACCCACCATCCCTCTTCTCGCTGTCTTCCGAAAGAGCATCTATTGTATTTGCAGCTAAACACAGGCAGTGACTGGCAGGGGGGGGGAAAAAAAAAAAGAAAAGAAAAAAAAAGAGGAGTATTTGGTTTTCTCAAACGCTGGGCACTTTGTTCCTTTGTGGGGAGGTTGTACATGTGTTGGATGCTTTTGCGAGGCTCTTGCCCTTTGTCTGGGCAGGGAGATCACCTCCGGAGCCCGCATTTGCTGGGAGAAGCCTGTCCCAAACTCATAAATTATGCTTCAGACACAAAACCGCACGGCTCCCCGGGGCGCTGCCCTGAGAACAGATTGGAAGTGTCACGGAGGTGACGGGAGAACGCGGGCAGGGCCGGGCAGCAGCCGGGGTTTGCAGGGGAGCGGGAGATGGGGCTGTCCGCGGGCGATGCTGAGAGCGCAGCCACCACCAGGGATGCGAACGCCGCCTCAAAGACCACCGCGGAGTCCGACTGCCCCCAGGCCAGGCGCTGTCGTGGGCAGGATTTGCTTTCTTGCCCCTCTTGCTGCTTACGGGGACCAGGGTTGGGTGGCAGCGGGATGGGGACAGCCCCAGCCATGCCCCGTGCTGGTCCCCAGCCGTGCTCTACAGTGAAATCCTGCTTGGCCACAGGTTTGTTTCTGCCCTGCACAATCCGGGCACATTTTCTTCTTCCACGGGGACTTTTGGGGACAAGGAGTGTTTTTGCCAGCTAAGAGCAGAGAGAGTTGGAGTGTGGGAAGAGGAGGATGAGCCAGGCGAGGGCACTGGGTTCGGTGTCCCTGGCGAGAGCCCTCCTGTCCCTTCCCCACCGAGGGGACCCGAGTGTTGGCATCTCGCCGGGAGCTGGGAGGTTTCTGAGGATGCCGGAGAGCTGGGGAAGGCTCGGCAGAAGAACCAGCCTTGGAGGACGTGCTGGCGGCAGCAAATGGACTGGGTGTAGTCTGAAAATATTTGTAGAAATGGCTGCGAAAGGGGATTGCCAGCAAAATTAGCTTCAACGGGAATGGCATAAGCTGCCTCATCCAGAGGCGAGCGGGAGGAGATGCCTCCATCGCGGGCACGCAGGGCCAGGGACCAATGAGAAATCCAGTGGCGAGGTCTCCTTGCACCTCGGCAGCGTAAAGGATGTTTGCATTTCAAAGAGACCGCCTTCACGCTGGCCGGGCACCGCGTCTGTGTTTGCAGCCTTCGCCGGTTCAGGAGGGAAAGTCACTGTGGTGGCTGTGGGCTTCTTGATCTCCCGCTGCACGTCTTTGGTCAGGGAAAAGGGATGCTTAATAGGTGCTTGGTTAGGAAAATGAGATCTGATCTTCACAATCTTACAGATTTCTCCAGATTTCTGTTCGTAGGTGCATAAACTGCCCGCTCTTCACAATATACTGATTATTTGCACTTAATGTCTCCTGGAATGTTCTGTGGGTCCAGTGGATTCACATCACCCGCTCACGACCCTGTGCACATCTGAGATCCAACCCAGCAATTTCATAATAGTTAATGAACTAGTGGAAAAATTCTTACCCTTGGCCCTTTTTCCTTCTTGTGAACCCTGTGTTTCTCCCTGGAATGACCTGTCTGGCCGTAGGCGTCACTGGAACCAGCTGCAGCAAAGCAAGGAGCCATAGGGGTGGGGAGTGGGGCCCAAGTATTTTAGGCTTTTGGGAGACTTGGGGGCTCTGGGACCCTTCTACCTTTGGGTGCTGGTCCCTGGGGTGCGGGCTGAGCTCCAGAGCCAGCTGGGGAAGGGCTCTGCGGAGGCGGCAGGGAAGGTGGATGGGACGGGCTGTGCAAGGACAGGCTGGGGCTGCGCGTCCCCTCGCCTGCCAGTCTGCGATGGATGTGCCCGAGCACAGCTCGGGGACGTGGGACCTGCTGGTGTGGATATGGGGCGGGAACGGTTCCTGGGATGCTCGTCTAGGGCCAGGCTAATCGTGGGAGGAGATGTGAGTGAGCCCTTCTCCCCACGCCTCGTAGCGGGTGAAGTGATTTTCCTGCTGCAAAGCTTAATTGCCCAGGCGAATTATGAAGGAAAAATTATCTAAACAGATTAATTGAATATTTTATTAGCAGAAGTTTCTCACCTTTTTTTAAAAATGGAAATGAAAGTCTGTTTTTTTCATTTTTCTTTTTTTTTTTCTTTCTTTCCTTCCTTTTGGCAAACCTGCGGGATGTTTCGGAGCTGGCTGGCTGTGCGGGAGGCGAACAGATGGGATGTGTCTGGATGCGCATATTCCTATTATCGCCTTTCAGTAGAAATGCAAGTTGATGTAGAATTTGTAAATGCCGTCAGGTCAGGACTGTGGGGAGGGGGCACTTGGCTGCTCTGGGGTGAGAAGCGGCTGTTTCTGGGATGCTCTGCTCACAGCTGAACGGGTCCGGTTTCGCAGAGGCAAGGACAACAGCAGCAATGTATTGGAAGCAGAGTCTATTTTTGAGCGGAAATAAATAGCCATGGGATTTATTTTTCCAGTTCTGTTCCATCCAAACAGATGAGTGAGACGTTGCTGTTTGTCTGAGAGCTTCAAGCTGTAGCTGCCGCAAGTTCAGAGCTGGAGCGGTACCTCTGCTTGAGAGAATTTCGGGCCGCTCCCTATTATAAATGGCAAAATATTTATGAGTGGTGCTGTACTAAGGCAAAAAGCTCATCAGCTATGCAGTGTTGTTGTTAGGTTTATTAAACAAGTGGACAGGATACTAATTTATCTCCCTTATTTTTAATTTTCATCATTAATATACGGCTCGTAAAATTTGGCTTGCACTGCTGCTTACCTCTTCTAGTTATGCCCCAGGCTCCTGAGCAAATGTGGGAGTGAAGCGTTACAGCCTGTTCGAACCGGCTGCGGATTGTTGGCTAATAAAAGCCGATATTGGCTTATAAAATAATACCCCTCTCTCCTAATCACACGAGAAGATACAAGTTCACGAGTCTGGCCGGGGGTATGGGAGCTGTTGATAAATACTGACTTTAAAGGCAGCCGCCGGCTCTGCCGTCCCCCCGCGGAGCCCCGGCACGGGCCGGTTGTTTTAGCCAAGAAAAAGATCCTCGCCAGAAGCGGGCAAGCAAACAGCGGTGTGTGCCTGCCCGGAGAACTGGCCCGTCAGCGCAGGGTCAGGATTTGCCTGCCGTTGTAATCTATTAATCAAATAATTGACTAACCGGCTGATGAGCACGTGCGGACCGGTAACCCGCGGGTGCGTGGCAGCGGTGGGACGCGGGCGCGTGGCTGCGCTCCGGCAGATGTGGCGCCATTTCAAAGGCACGGTTTAACTCCTGGGGTTGTTTTTTTTTTTTTCCCTTGTAAGCCCCATCCCAGGCTGTCCCCAGGCAATTCCACGAACAGCCCCTGCCCTCTCTCCCCTCCTTCTTCCCAGCCCCTTTCCCCTACCAGAGCTCAGGTGGAGGCTTCCCAAATAGACCTGGGCATCCCCCGAAGCCCCGCAGCGCTGGGCACATCTGGCTGCCTCCTGCTCGCTGAGCAAACGAAGCTTTCGGGGCAGCAGGAGAGGGTTTGGTCTGCACCCCAAGATCCCGCTTCTGCACCGGGGTGGGCTCTCCCCACGGATCGCTTCGGTATTTGTAGTGACCCTGTGCCAACCCTGGCCCCATTCTCTTCCCTTTCCTAATCTCATAACCTCCGTCTCTGCTACTGCTGCTTTCATCCCATTTTGTCCTCACTGATCTAGATCTAGTTTAATAATTCCACTTATTAATGGAATTTATTCCATTAATAATTATTTTGTTTCCCCCTACATAGAGACCTTCGCTGTGTGTATCTGTAGAGAGTTGTCTTGTGTCTTCCTCTGATTCTCTCCTGTTAAACTTTCCTGTCCAGTCCTGAAATCTGTCATTTTGGTCACCGAGTTGTTCCTTTCCAAAGGGCACTGTCCTTCCAGGCCCCGCAGCTCCTAGTAAGGGTGGGAAACCTCCCTGGTGCTGCTGGAGTCCCAAACAGCGCCAGGGTCCTCTGTATTTCAGAGATCTCTGTGGCAAAGCTGCTCGGTTTTCCACATAAACCCGTCCTGTGCCCATTTGTTCCTTTTGTCTTTCATTACATGTTATGTCCATCAGTATTTCCAAGTCTCATGTGATTTCATTTGTGCTAGAGGCAGGGGTGGGCAGGAAAGGTGCTGCCCTGGCGGGAGCTGATGGTGTGGGGCTTTTTCCCCATGGCTCAGCTCCCTCTGTCCATCCTCTGCTGCTTCTTTACCTCCTTGCCTCCCGACCATCCTCTCTCTACCCTTTTTTTTTTTTTTTTTACTTTAAAAATTACCTTGAGCCCTTCTCTGCTTTCCAGGTACATTTCTGGGTGAGTTCAGTATCCCCGGCTTGGCCGGGAAATTGCCAGCTTCCCCCCGAAAATACCGTGTATTTCTGGCCTCGTACGCACCCTCCCCATTGCTGCAGCGAAGGAGAGTTTAAAAGCACCGTGTCTTGTTTTGTTTTTTTTTTTTTTTCTCTCCTGCTGATTTCAGCCCGAGGGATTACGGAAACAACTCCCAGCTTCATGTACCCCTACGGGACCTCCAGCAATCAGATGGTGCTCCGAGGGGTGGACCTCCTGCTGGAGTGCATTGCTTCAGGAGTGTACGTACCGCTGCCCGTACCGCTGCACGCCTGCTGGGGATGGGGAGAGGGTGGTCCCCAGCCGTCCCCCGGCGGGATGGCCCAGGACCAAAGTGCTGAATCCCCGGTGGAAATACCTCTGGCTAGGAAAAGGGATCGTTCCCTTCCTTTTAACAACATTCTTGTGACCTACTTGAAGCGTAAGAGCATGGAGCAAACAGGAGAGCTGAGTTTTGCAGCACTGTTCAGAGAAGCAGGTGTCTTCAGATACTTGCTGTCCATCGGTATTGCCAAGTCTCATCTGATTTCAGCCCGTTTCTTTGTGCTAGAGGCAGGGGTGGGCAGGAAAGGTGCTACCCTGGTGGGAGCTGATGGCGTGGGGCTTTTCCCCCGTGGCTCAGCTCCACTGGTTTGCCCTGGTAGCCATTTGCAAATCTCCTGGGTGCTCCTCACCACACTGTATAAACTGCGGGGGAGGACAGTTGTGGTCCATGTGCCTGTGAAAGTGTCCTGGCCATGGGGTCAGACCTCAGCAGCACTCCTGGGACACAGTGCCCGGTGCTGTCCGCACATGCTGCTGGACCAGCACTCTGCATCCCCAGGCAGGAAGAGTGAGATGGACCCTGCTCCTGGTCAGCTGGTGACGCTCGGTGTCCTGGTTTGGGGGCTGTGATGGGAAGGAGGGTGGCCCAGCACTTGGATGAGTCCTTCTCTGTGGGTGTGAGTGGTTCCGAGTCTGGAATCCCATGCTGTTTTCTTAGGAATATATTTCTTGTCTTGCAAAAGCATTTATCTCCTCTCCTCTCCTTAGACCAGCACCAGACATCATGTGGTACAAGAAAGGAGGAGAGCTCCCGGCAGGCAAAACCAAGCTGGAGAACTTTAACAAGGCTCTTCGGATCTCCAACGTCTCCGAGGAAGACTCCGGGGAGTATTTCTGCTTGGCGTCGAACAAGATGGGCAGCATCCGCCACACGATCTCGGTGAGAGTGAAGGGTACGTCATCTTTACCTTGCCGTCTTTTTTTTTACCTTCCCAACCAGCCGCTGAGGGGACGGGCAGGGGAGGGGACGCTCGGATTTGGTTCAGTGTCTGAGAGGGGGAGCGGGGGCTTTCTGCGGGGGCTGTACCTCTGCTGTATCCAGCCGTACCTGCTCCTTGTCCAGACTGACCTAAAAGCAGTGTGAGAAGTGATCCGGGCTGGTGTAACTCAGCACAACCTCACTGGTATAAATGGTTGGGGTTTTGTGTGGCCAAAGAGAGGGGGAAGAGGACCCTCCACTCTCACTGCACCCAAGAAAGCCCCCGCGAGAGGACTGTGTTTCCATTGTC